TCTATCTATCTATCTATCTATCCTTTCTCCTCCGCCTCCCTACACACCTTGGATCTCAGCGCTGTTTACCTCTCCCCACACCCTTTTTCACTCGGGAAATGTATGTTTTCCGTCCTCTATTTAATTCTTTTTTTTTTTTTTTTATATATGTTGAGAGAGAGAGAGAGAGAGATAGAGAGAGAGAGAAAGAGAGAGAGAGAAAGAGAGAGAGAGAGAGAGAGAGAGAGAGAGAGAGAGAGAAGGGGAAGGGGGTTGTTATTAGAATTACTGGTTCCTGTCGTTTTCTCTCTGTGTCGGTCCACAAGCTGACCCGGAACAATACAGTCATTGTTATACCCACCATGACCAGTCCCATCTTCATTAAGTATTATAATAATGTCGATATGGTCAGATCATTGCAATCAGTGGTCAGTCCCATCTTCATTAAGTATTATAATAATGTCGATATGGTCAGATCATTGCAATCAGTGGTCAGTCCCATCTTCATTAAGTATTATAATAATGTCGATATGGTCAGATCATTGCAATCAGTGGTCAGTCCCATCTTCATTAAGTATTATAATAATGTCGATATGGTCAGATCATTGCAATCAGTGGTCAGTCCCATCTTCATTAAGTATTATAATAATGTCGATATGGTCAGATCATTGCAATCAGTGGCCAGTCCCATCTTCATTAAGTATTATAATAATGTCGATATGGTCAGATCATTGCAATCAGTGGCCAGTCCCATCTTCATTAAGTATTATAATGATGTCGATATGGTCAGATCATTGCAATCAGTGGCCAGTCCCATCTTCATTAAGTATTATAATAATGTCGATATGGTCAGATCATTGCAATCAGTGGTCAGTCCCATCTTCATTAAGTATTATAATAATGTCGATATGGTCAGATCATTGCAATCAGTGGTCAGTCCCATCTTCATTAAGTATTATAATAATGTCGATATGATCAGATCATTGCAATCAGAGTCAAACTTTCACGTTAGAAATGTAACCAGTAACGATCAGACAAGACTATTAGATCGAGATCTATAAGCCTTTCCTAAAAGTTCGGCTTTCTGAAGTATTGTTCTCTTTGCAAATGTTTTCAAGGAGAAAAAGAATGGAAATCCAATAATATGTGGCGTTAATAGATCCAATGAATGCCACAGATAAAGTGGGAGAAAAGTTAGGTAGATGGGGGGGGGGAGTCGGGTTGGGGGGGGGGGGGTTGGGTGTTTTTTAAAATAATATTAGAAAGAAAAAGCCACATGTATGACATGGCCTGTGATACATGTATAATTAAATTATTAAATTTTGAATAACGTGAACCCCCACCAAACCTTATTTAGGCCACACGTAATAGCCAAAACAACCAAACTCGTGTAATGCACTGTTTTCTTCATCTTTTTATTTTAAAAAAGACAACTCTTCACATCCATTTTCCATCACAGAAGTAGAATCTACATCAAAGGTGATGTATCTAGAATCAATGTAAGGTCCTTCTCTGTGTATCGATCTCATAATCTGCAGTTAAAAATATGTGCCGCCTGTACATGTCTGACTGAATCTACTAATAAAGGTGTATTTTTTTATATTTTATTTTGACACATGGACTTTCTTCTACTTGATGTCACTCGTACTCGTGGATGCACGCAGTAACTTGAGGTAGAATAGAGAATAGAATAATGAGCTTGGCTTCAATCTTCAAACCGTTGTAGAACATAACATGCTCTAACTTACGGACGGTATGGTCCACTTCGCCCAAGGAATGTGTATCGAAAAGTTTGGCATCAATTTCATAGTTCTAGTTCACCACTTCTGAATGCAGGAAGCCGTTTATATAAGTTTGTTTATTTTTCTTTTTAAAAAAACGTTGGGCGTTTTGTGTTGTTTTTTTCACTTTATAGAAGGGGGGGGGGGGGATCAACTTCGTTGAATGAGGATTCTTTATCAGTATTGTACGAAACGAAGTGCCTAGACAATATAAATATAAAACATAGTAGGCCTACAAATATTCACGCTTTGACACCACCAACTGTCCGAGTTGTACGGTCCTAAAGTAAATTTGCCGCGCCATACCGACAGGGAATTGACTGCCAGAGGTACACACTGCACACCACGCACAACGCCCAGCGTGACCGTCTTTCTCCCACGAGAGAGAGAGAGAGAGAGAGAGAGAGAGAGAGAGAGAGAGAGAGAGAGGGGGGAGGGAGGGAGAGAGTGAGGGGAGAGGGAGGGAGGGAGAGAGAGGGGGGAGAGAGAGAGAGAGAGAGAGAGAGAGAGAGAGAGAGAGAGAGAGAGAGAGAGAGAGAGAGAGAGAGATG